TTAGATTATATTGAGAGCAACCCACTCTGAACATGCAGCTAAAATTGTGTACTGTTAAACAATAACCATAGTCAGACAATGTTTCTAATCTATATTCTTTAGTTCGCCGATAATGAATACTTTGACAGTCCTCCTAGCGACGACCATGTTTATGATATCACCGGTGATGGCGTGTTCTTCCTGCCCTCATGATTGCTTGATTGGTGAGTTGACAACATTCCGCCCCTCTTTTTTTTTTTGTGTAATAGTAGTAGCTCTCTCAAAGTTTTAACGAGAGAAACAAAACTGGGGTAGTGCTACCCCCCCCCCCCAGATTACATTGACTGCTGTGCTATAGTGGTGGGGTACAACGAGAGCTTTTCGTAATGTCATAATGCCCCTGTCACAAGTTTTACATACATCCACTCACTCGCACGCGCTCCCACACACTTACACACACACACACACGCACACGCACACAGAGCAAATGCAAACACCATAATCGTACTCCCAAACCAACACAGTGCATCAACCTACATTGCCAACTCATTGCAGATGAGGTGATGTGCTTCTGGCCAATGATATATCGTGCAGGGAGGTGGATAGTGGAAGTATTTTCTGTAGAGCATGTAGTAAACAGAAAGTCTAAATTATAGGCCTACTGACAGGAGTCATTCACTGCATTGAAAAACTATAAAAACTTAATCTCTGTGAATATCAATCAATCATATCATGATTGAAAATAATCATTATATTGTCAGATATAACAAGTCTAAGACTCTAACATGGCTACAGCAGCAGGGATTAATCATATTCATGATCTGTCTATCGATGACATGGATTTTCATTCAGGCAGTATTTATGAGTGAGTTACTACAAGATTTATTGCAACTAAGTCTGCATGATGTAGACCTAGCAGAAGCACCAGTATGTATTGCTGCCAGTACTCCCAAGAAAAAGCAAAAATTTGCTCCCTTGACTTCACTCAGTCAGGACGATTTGTCTATTGATGGTATGGATATCACAATTGAGTCTTGATGATGTATCTTCTGAAAATCATCAAGTTGGCGCTAGAAAACAACATGGCGATCTCTTCACTCATCATGTGGATGAATATTCATTCAATGAATCAGACACTGCTCATCATCAAGAATTTGTGCAACCACCATTGTGTAACATCGGAAACACCCTTCTTGTGATTACAAAAAATTATTTGATTTGAAAGGCCTGATTTGTGATTTGACTTGTGTTAAAACTTATATTAACTTATTTCAAAACAATTTATTCACTCTAGATACCCTTAAATATGGATTATCATCATTTAATTGGGTTTCTTTGCTTTGGACATTGCGGAAAATTGGTTTTAACCATAAAATAGTATTGTAATAATGTATTGCAAATTTTTTGTTTTGGTGGGTAGCTGCCATGTGATGTTAACAAAATGTTAGGATAGATATGTCCTGCAGTTCATATATTTTCTACTACTTTAAATTCAAAGTTGTTTCGGAAGTTACAAAATTGTTTACAGAAAATTTGAGACAACTTTTTCAAATTTTGAGTATTTTTCCCATATTAGCGCTACTATAATTAAATTATATTTTCCTTCAATATAATCACTTGGAGTAACTAATAAGCTCATTCAAACCATATACAATCTCATTAATTTATTGTTCTAGTGGGTTAAATTAGGGTCTACATTGTTTACGGAAAATGTAACGTCCGAAGCACCATTTTCAATTGCTCTGTTCCATTAAAATACAGGAGTTGAATCAGATTACTGTTATTTTTCTTTAAGATCCACCCATGCTCATTAATCATCAATAGAAAGAAGAAAACAAATTGTTTGTTGCTATATATTTTTTTCAGCTCAAACCAAAATGGTATGTCAATTTTGTTACAAAATTCTGTAAACAATTTGCTGCTCAGGGATACCTCATGCATATAAAGCAACATTTTTTTATTAAGCTATGGCCTATATGGGAGGTCAATCTAGGTCCATGCTACAAGAAAAAGTTGTAACTGATGTCTAATTCTTTATCTTTGAAAAGTTTCAGGCTCTCAAAGGGTCATTTAGCTATTTTGTCATAGTTTTTAAAAAACAACAGTACCATGCATATACACAAGGAGAGTATCTTTTTAGGGGGAGGTAATGGGGTCAATGCCTGATAGTGATAGTCTTGTATTTCAGGCAGTGATAGTGTTATCAGTGTTAATATCTCACAAAAACCTCTTTTTAAAAGAGGAAGCATTAAAAAAGAAAATGGCGGCTGGTTTTGTGTAGAGCCCTCTATACCAAAACTGAACTATCCCTTGAAGAGAATACATGTAGTTTCTAAACTAAAATATACATTATAATCTTGTGCAGCCACTCACTTGGCATTCGTGCCTCTTGTATATAATATTAGTGACAAAGATGTTCAAAGACAACCTTGAACATTGATCTCAAAAGCTCTCAATATTGTGATTGTTTATAGACATACCATGCAAAAAGCTGTACTAATTTTATTGAGATTTCAGAGTCTTGATGGGAATGGTTTCCAAAACTTGGCCTATCGGCATATAATGCATGTGTTCGTTTATGATATTTAATAAGTTCACAGTGTCGATATGCATTGAATAGTCATAAATTGTCTGAATGAAATATACTGCACAGCATAATTCCTATAGGTTTGGGTAATTCTAATTATAGGCATTATTGTGCATGTAGGTAAATGTATAAAACAAAGTGGTTGTAGTTTGTTATAGTCTGTTATTCCACACGCGATGAATTGTATGCAATTGTTTTGTACCTAAATAATGATTCTTTCATGTCATTCACAAATTACATTTCCACACGACAAATATTTTGCAATTTGTCATACCCATGATATGTTAAAAATGGGCTGGAAGTTATAACCAGTACGTAGCCTTCATTGATCTTGAATTAAAGCATCTTCAATATTCATAATATGTCAATTGTATTGACTTTGAATACATACAGTATTTCTGTTCACATATTATTTATACATATTTACAATGATTCTTAATAGCCATTGACAGTGCTGTAATGAGCAAACAATTTTGGGGGTCAGAAGAAAGTCTTCATCCATTCATCACCAGGTATAGCATAATGGCAAGATTGGCAGGGTTGCAAACTTAGGGCTTGAGACTGTGTGAGGGAGTGAAGCAACTGAGCTGGGGGTTGGGGGTTGGGGGGGGGGGGGTGGGTGAGGGCAGGGTCCGAGGATGTTTGAGCGGTGTCTCCCTCTCCCACGATAGGGAGATTTTGCATTTTCTTCTTAATAATGTGCAATCTGGTCCATACCGGTCCTACAATTCAGTTATATGTGGTTAAGTGCATAATGATTTTACCGATTGTGATCAAGTTAAACTTTTGTCATGAAGAAAACATAATTATACCAAAATATGCACGCCAAGAATTAATGTTCATGCCCATTTAAAGCATAACACCACATATACTTATGATACAACAACATGAACAAGATATACCAGATGCAGACAAGACCGATTCCCGAGGGAGCATAGAGACCAAGTGACAGGAGGTGTGTTTGGAGGGGAGGGGAAAGAGTGTCTGCCCCTGCACAGTAAATGAGCTTTTGCAATTCTGTTGCACACCTGGGAAGGAAATTTGGCTTGAAATGAAGTAGAATCTGAGTTATAGAGTCTAAAAAAATACTCCTTTGTTTCAAACACTGGTATCAAATTAAGACATGTTTTATTATTATTGGGGGGGGGGACACTTTTTTTCTTGACAAACCTTCGTAAGAGTAAAGTATGGTGAATGAGGAACCTTGATAAGAGTGAAGTGTGGCAATCGACGAACCTAAGTTATAGTCAAGTGTGGCGATCGACAAACCTTGGTCAAAGTAGAGTGCGGCGACCGACAAACCTTGGTCAGAGTAGAGTGTGGCGATCGACGAACCTTAGTAATAGTCAAGTGAGGCGATCGACAAACCTTGGAAAGATCAAGGTGTGGCAATCGACGAACCTGGGATAGAGTAAAGGGTGGCGATCGACGAATCTTGGTAATAATAAAGTGTGGCGATCGACAAACCTTGGACAGTTCAAGGTGTGGCAATCGACGAAACTTGGTAAGAGTAAAGTGTGGCGATCGACGAACCTTGGTAAGAGTAGAGTGTGGCTATCGACGAACCTTGGTCAGAATAAAGTGTGGCGATCGACAAACCTTGGACAGATCAAGGTGTGGCAATCGACGAACCTTGGTCAAAGTATAAAGTGCGGCGATCGACAAACCTTGGAAAGAATTAAGTGTGGCAATCGACGAACCTTGGTCAAAGTAAAGTGCGGCGATCGACGAACGTTGGTAAGAATAAAGTGTGGCAATCGACAAACCTTGTACAGATCAAAGTGTGGCAATCGACGAACCTTGGTCAAAGTAAAGTGTGGCGATCGACAAACCTTGGACAGATCAAGGTGTGGCAATCGACGAACCTTGGTCAAAGTAAAGTGCGGCGATCGACGAACGTTGGTAAGAATAAAGTGTGGCAATCGACGAACCTTGTACAGATCAAAGTGTGGCAATCGACGAACCTTGGTCAAAGTAAAGTGCGGCGATCGACGAACGTTGGTAAGAATAAAGTGTGGCAATCGACGAACCTTGTACAGATCAAAGTGTGGCAATCGACGAACCTTGGTCAAAGTAAAGTGTGGCGATCGACAAACCTTGGACAGATCAAGGTGTGGCAATCGACGAACCTTGGTCAAAGTAAAGTGCGGCGATCGACGAACGTTGGTAAGAATAAAGTGTGGCAATCGACAAACCTTGTACAGATCAAAGTGTGGCAATCGACGAACCTTTGATGGATACTTGCAAGAACAATATTCTATAACGACAAAGGTAAGGACCATTATTTTCTGTAACCCAAGAAATTTGGTTCTATTTGAGTGAAAAAGTATTATTTTAGACCATCTGAAATTGCATGAAACGGTCCATTTTTTTAGACTTTTTTGGAAAGTCTACTTTTTTTTTGGAATGGGTTTATCACTTTAATCTTTCTCAAGATAACACTTGTCAGTTACAGTCATCTCGAGCAAGAGCCACTTCTCATTTATTTTACAGTATGGGGTAAGAAAACTTGGTTTCGTTGTTTATCATTGTTTTCCAAGAAAATTGTTATTTGATTGTTTTCATTAGGCTACACCATACATTTCGTGAACAAATAACATCGAAATGATAAATATCAATAATAGTAGCTCATATAATTGAACACTTTTGAGTCTTTTTGCTCTTAACGATATTGAAATTCATTGCTTTGAATTTTCTATCGAATAAAACTTTTCACCATATAAAGATTTTTTGGTTAAACAGCGAAAATCATAGTGTTCGTAAAACTTAGATTTTGCAAGTAAGGACATCTGCTGCCTCAAAATTATCCTAAATACTTTAAATAAATGGTCACTTTTATCATTAAACTGGCAATAAATGTTCACAATATGTGTTGTACTTTCATAATTTAGATTATATTGAGAGCAACCCACTCTGAACATGCAGCTAAAATTGTGTACTGTTAAACAATAACCATAGTCAGACAATGTTTCTAATCTATATTCTTTAGTTCGCCGATAATGAATACTTTGACAGTCCTCCTAGCGACGACCATGTTTATGATATCACCGGTGATGGCGTGTTCTTCCTGCCCTCATGATTGCTTGATTGGTGAGTTGACAACATTCCGCCCCTCTTTTTTTCCTTCCTTTTTTTCAAAAGGATGACATCATCACTGAGGTAGGCCTGGGTCACAATTCACAGTTCACCATAGAGGGCCCAAACTCTGCTCACAGGATCGTCCCTTAAAACGCTCGAGGGATTTGCAAGAAAAGAACCTCAGTCGTCATATTTGAAAAATCGAGATTGACGATATTTGGTACATTTTAAAATTTGAGGGCTTTAATAATTTGTCTTCATTCGTTTTTGATATTAGTTCAACACTCCCTCGCCCTTCCATTCCATTCCTTCCTTCCTCTCGCGATACAGCGATCTCTGCATACATGTACATGTATATGTAATCAACATTATTTATTTTTACATGAGGTAGAATAATATAATAATGAAATAACCATGAATTTAAAAAAATTGTATAATACTTCCATACGTCATTATACCCCCCCCCCCCTCAAAAAAAAATAGGAATAAAATAGTAATCAGTATATTCAGGATGCTAAGGAAGCAGTAACCTAAGGGAGCATAACCTGTTATCCTACGTACTAAAGATGTGTTCTGTTATTTTCTGTCCGCATATTGTGTTTAGTAGTTAAAGGGATAGGTGTGTTCTGTTGCAGAGGGCGCTACACAATTTTTTTTTTTTTTTGTGAGATAATGAAAAACTGAGTGTCAAATTTGAAAGAACATAATATTTAAATAACAATATCATCTTTGTTTGACCGAAATCGGTTCACAGACGGCTGAAATATAACGATTTCTAATACTTGTGTACCACCACAAATATTAGATATTTTGGAAAATTTGAAAAAACCGTTGGAAACCGTTGAAAAAATGAAATAACGCCTTTTACGTCGTTATTCAGCCAATGACGATGTTGGCTTTTTGCTTATATTATCAACAATTATCCTCAATGAATTGTTATTTTAAATTAAATAATTAATTAACGGTCACCGTGTTTTTTTTTAAGTGGAGCTGAATTGGTATGATCGTATTGGCTAAATTTCACACATATTGGGGTCTAAAATTACCTTCATAGCAATTTTAGGTTCTAAAAGGGCACTATAAATGTCATAGATGAGAATAAGAGCAATAACCATGCACTTTGAAGGATTAAACAAATCCAACACCTAACTAAAATGTTTAACCTCAACTAAAACCAAAGCGTAACCCTTACCCGAAGACTAGTCCATTGAGCCGTAGCCACCGGAGAACTAATTAAATGTCAGAGAGTCAGAATATCAAAGCCGCTTTGAGAGCAATTTCCAAGCCTATTTCTTTAGCTTGTTGGGATGTTCTCTAGCAAAATCGACAATTTTGAAACTAGCTTTCAGCCTGATCCCAAAATTTGAAAATAAGAATGTTTTGTCTGTTAGTTGCTTGTCGGAACAAAATCTTTGTCCTGCTGTGATGCCTTGGTATTTTCATCCTGCTTTTCTTCCAGCTTACTACCCGTTTGAGGGAGACGTTACTGACAGCTCCGCTAACAACCGCGACGGAACCACGACCGGCGATGTTTGACCAATGCGGTCAGGCCGCGTCCTTTAACGGTGCGTTTAAAATGAGCGTCCAGTCGTTTGCCAACTTCGCCTGGGGCACGGAGTTCAGTGTCAGTGTATGGTTCAAACTGGTGAGTGGGGCACCTAACAATGCATCGTCAATAATGGGTATGATACTACAGGGAGCTGGGAAATAAGAATGGGCAGGGAGAACAGCGGTCAGATGTTGGTGTCATTACAACCGCTACGGGTACTACCTGAGACTACATACATCTTATCGCTTTGCGGAACACCTGGAACCACGTGACCATGACCTATGACGGGTCTACCTTGCTCTACTACCTCAATGGTCGGCAGCAGACAGCAAACAACCAGAACTGTTACACTGGCCCTATCCTTACACGCAATACACCGGTGACTATTGGTCAAGCAGGTCCAGGGTATTTCTATGGCTTGGTTGACGAGGTCAAGATCTATGGCTGAGTGCTCACAGCTGTCGAGGTTCATAATATGGCCAACCATCCATGTCTTTACATATATAAATCGATTATGTTGATGTATTAGTCAAGTAAAGTGTATAAGATATTTTTTTGTTTAAATTTTAAAGAGCTGAAACCATTAGTGCTCTCTTTTGGTCATTGGCATTTATAATTATGTTAATGGTATGGTAAGTCATGAAATTAAAATAAAAGTTAAGCATGACAACATTTATGAAAAGCTCATTGTTTAAAATAAATTCGATATTGGTTCAGACTGTTTAATACGATTTAGGGCAGGAAAGAGGGGGGGGGGGGTATTGAAATAAAATTGATTTTAGAATAATCAGTTTTCAGGGCGTTGGTTCTCAGGAGATGATACATATAGGTATTCAATATCACTATGAATATGACTGACAAAGAAAGCGGACAAAATATACAGTTCCTCAGGTAGACAAAGGAACATCCCTTCACTTCTATTACGTAAAAATGTGTAGCACAGGTGTCACATGCATGTTCACCTTTTTACATAATAGCAGTGAAGGGATGTTCCTTTGTCTACCTGAGGAACTGTATATTTTGTCCGCTTTCATTTTCCGTCATGTTCATGGTGTATGCTTCCATGTATGATATTCATGATAATAAATGATATTACTTTCGTTTCATCGCGGGAACTTGTAGCCGTTTTATCATCAGGGATCATTCTGTAATTGTAAAGACGTGGTGAAGACGTGCTAGACCCAGCATGAGTATCGTTTCGATAAACCATTCACATAGTCTTATATGCTTCGATTGTTTTGTTTTTTAAAGAGTATTCTATGGAATCACTTTGACCCTCTTAATAGTTCTATCTTATTGATAAACAGTACTTTGAACGAGTTTATTAGATGTCATAAATCATCTCGTATCTGATAAAGTTCGTGTCAACAGGCATTAGGTAGGGAAATGTTTACGTGGTCTAATCTTTATCACCAACAAATGCGTTCACTAACAAGAAATTCTTGAGCATTTAGGCCCTGTTGCTTTTCAGTTCTTACTAAATGGTTTGGACAGATAAGAGAGAGAGAGGTGGATGGTAAAATGGAAAGATATAGTGAGGTAATACGAGTAGGTATAGAGACAGATAAGAAACAGAAAAACAGATTGAAAATGAGTGGGGAACTGAGGAAGGCGAAGAGAGAGAAAGAAGGCAGAAAGAGAGAGACAGAGAGAGAGAGAGAGAGTAGCTGAAAATATAGAGAGGGAAGAAAAGAAGACATAAAGACAGAAAAACAAAGTGAAAATGAACGGGGAAGGGAGGAAGGCAAGAGAGAGAAAAGGCAGAAAGAGAGAGAGAGGGGAGAGAGAGAGAGAGAGAGAGAATAGCTGGAATTATATAGAGAGGGAAGAAAACCAGGCAGAAAGACAGATAGGACACAGAAAAAAAATGGAAATGAGTGTGGAAGGGAGGAATAATAATACTACTACTAATAATAAACGTCGCTTATTAAGCGCGTATTACCGAAGTCATTAAGCGCTATAACAAACAAAAAACAATGATAAACAATTACATATTAAACAAAAAAAAACATTAAGAATAAACCTACAAATTACAATACATATGAATTCTACATCAATGTGAACAGAGTAAGTGAATCATCAAAAGCATTTTTGAATAAATATGTGTTTAGACAAGTTTTGGATTGGTTGACAGGCTAACAGTTTTTTAAGTTTAAGGGTAAAGAGAGATTCCAGTCTAGTCAAGTTTGAGTCCCACGTAATGATTTTAATAAGCTCCATATATCTTGATTAAATGACAGAGTTCACATAATTGAATTGATTGATATCAATATGTATTTAAGTGTTCGTGTGCACTCATCAAGGTAATGTGCAAATATTCCTCCCCAAGGTAAATATAGGCATATCAAAGTACATGAATGATGAACAGACTAAAAGAAAAAAAACTATTTTTAAATTACAATGCTAATGGTTTTGTCCCATTTTACTTCCAGTGAGTTACGCTTATGCCAAAATATTTATCGAAGCTTAAGATACTCCAACCATGAAATTCAAACGAATCATAAAAATAATATTCCGCGTTTATATTCTCCATTCCCTGGGAAATATTCCAGCCAGGCGCCATTTTACAGACGCAATGCTGAGCATAGAACATTAACGTTCGCATCCTACTATGGACTCATTTAGATTTAGACGCATCGGATTAACCACATTATCATGTCCTTTTCCTTTAGATGGTGCTGCTGTTCTGTTCTCACGCACCAATAAAATAGAATAAAATAAAGTGAAATAAAATCAATTGAAATAAAATTAAATACAATATAATACTGTTTGATAACATAAATTCTACCTCTTTTGAGGACAGGGTCACCAGTATGGAAAACTGCATTTTCTTTCTTCTTCTCAAATTGAATACATTCAAGATTCAAGATTCAAATGATTTTATTTCTCATGCAAAACATATTGAAATTAATTTGCAATGTTATTTGCAATTTAGTATAAGTAATTACAAAAAATATACAATGAAACATGGCACAGCTTGATAAAGTATTATTAATAAAGGGGAAGGTTGAACCCCTCCCTCCTCAAATTGTTTTGGTTTGTGTGTTTTGAAGAACCCCCCTCCCTCATGTTTTTTTTTAAATTGTGCTAATGGGTGACCAAAAGAGGTAACCTTACCCCCCCCCCCCCCAAAAGGAACGAAATACCGATCGACCAAATTTGTCAAATTTCGGGACAAAAAAAATAATGTTCTGTCGGTGTCAGGACCATACAAAGTATCATTTTAATATTATTTATTCATTCTTTTATTCATTTAATTTCTTGCTCGCTAAATTGTTAGTTAGTAGTGAGAATTCGCTCCTTCTAGCCTGGAGGACCGCCTTAAAAGCTTGTACGGTAATGTTCCTTATAATCAAGTATTACACATTACTGTCCATGGTGTGTTAAGAAGGGAACATTTGAGTGGAATATTGTTTGCTAGTCTACGAACATGAAGAATGGGGTAATTACGTGGGCTACGTGACGAGGGCAAAACGAAATGTAAACATTTAAACAAATTCGTCAAATATTTGATATGATACATTCAAGATAAGTTCATATACTCTGATTGGTTATCATAGTAACCTCTGACACAATCTATAAAATACAAATACAAATTATGGAAAATGATTAACCACTGAATAAACTCATCATAAGACAAAGGTCAAAGCAGGCCTTCGAAACCTCGTGATATCATAACTTCTAGGGACCGAAATTGACGCGATATACATCACGTGACAGATAAAAGCGTTATCAAAACGTTCGTAACCACCATTCTAAAAGTACACGCCATTATTTTGCGACAACTCCCGGCAGTTGGTTTGGTGTGCTATTTACAGCCAAGTTTTTGACATCTTTTCTGGACTAGGCTTATGGCGTGTCTACTGCTAGGTTAATGCCAGACTGAGGGCACTTTTATACCTTCGTGTTCTAAAAGACGTAAGTACTATGAAAGTTGAATATACATGGGCAGGCAGTATTGAACCTAGTGACGTGTAATTAGAAATTTGAATATCGTAAAAATATATAAAGACTTCATCTCAAATGTAGTCGCTGTAGACGAAAGTGCTGGACTTGCTTCGATATGATTGGGGCGTGCAGTTGTAAACAGAGAATAGATAATATCAACTAACTTCGTTTCGTTTTTTTTTTATTTGTATAGTTCTGATTGTATGTATAATTAATACATGAAATTGATTATTTCTCTGTCTCTCAAACTCCGCGTGTCTATCCCTTTTCTGCTTCAGTAAAACTTACTTTTGCGTGCATGGTATTTAATGTTATGTATGCTGATGAGTCTTGTTGTGTCAATATGGTTGTGGTATAGGTATTCGAATGAATAAGTGTATGTCTTTGCTTCTATTACCATTGCCTGTTGCTTTATTTTATTCATATTTCATTGGTGTTCATTTATTTGCATTTATTTTAACAGGGTCCATCCTAATATGCTTTGCTAAGAAGACGTCCTTCCAATGTATATTTTGAATGTATTCATTATGTAAATTATCATGTTTGTAATGGAAAAATAAATCAAAATTGAATTGATTTGAATGAAATTAAAGGAAAATATAAGAAGTATAATCTTATACTAAACAGAACTGACCAGGGCTCCAAGGCAAACAGAACATATGATGTCACTTTCTGATGGATATCTTTACATTTCATTTGCTACAGGGTGATCCCACCATGGGGGTGAACACAGATGGCGAAGAGATGGGTTCAGGATCAACAGTAACAGATGGAGTCAAGGTAAACACAATGCTTTTCAATGCTTAGGCAGTTTAGAAGATTTACTCATTAAAGTCAACAGAAAATGAAATTATATCTACTTATCTTTCATATTTCATTAATAATTACGAGGTTTTTAGACTTGACGTTCTCATTCTTGATGTTCACACACGTTCACGACGAATAACACCCCCTCACATTTGCCTCATAATTGTTGAATTAAATATTAATTAGCAAAACTACTAGTTTCCTTTCAAGGAACAAAGTGTCGTCTCTGTAGATCGACTACTAACTAGTTTCTCTAGACAGAGTGCCCACAAGACCGAAAAACATAGAAATGTATGAGAAAATACAGAAAAGGACAAAAAAGTCTACAAGATAGTCGGCCCTCTAGACCGACAGCTGATGCAAGCGATAAATCAAAGAAATACATAATAGAAGGTAGTAAACGAAATCCGGTGGTATTTCGGACCGTAGGCCGTCGGTCTATTGAACCTTTTAACAATTATCGGAAGTTCTGAGAGACCGACATTGCCGGTCTTGTGTGATTTGTTCTGGTGCCTTTTATGATTACAAATTAAATGGTCTGTAAGGGTGTATTTGTATCCATTTGTATTAGCACCAAAACTGTTTTCTTTGTTAAATACTTTTGCCGTCGTATCAAATCGTCTGACGAGCCGGACGTAGCTAATGAGCCACTATCTATAGAGAAAATACACTGAAATGTTAAAGTCGCTTAAGTAACTGAATAACTTTTAAAGAAAAGACTAATGAAAGTCCAGTAAATCCATCAAAAGGTAAAACATTTAGAAAAGTTTAAATTCTTAATCATTCTAACACAAAGTGACTGCCTTTCATTTATCACGGAAGCACCCTATGTAGTGTTTTTGTACTAAAACTTGTATTTACAATTTAACCAAATAAAGCGACATAGTAGTATTATTCCTATGCTCTATCATTTGATACATATTTTCACCATCAACAAAATATGTATCATGAGATCTAGAATCAAATGGATGGAGCTAGGAGAAAGGTCATCAAAATATTTTTTAAACTTGGAAAAACAGAATAAAGTAAATAAAGAAATACGGCAATTGTCAACAGAAAATAGAGATGTTATTAGTGGACAAGATGGTATATCTAACGAAATTTTTAAATTTTATTCAAACTTATATAAGGCGAAAGACACTGAAGAGGTAGATATAGACACATTATTAAACTACCCAGATATTCCTAAGTTAACTCCAGAATTGTCCAAATAATTAGAAGGTCCTTTGAGTGAAAGTGAGGTTTGTTTAATGCTAAAAAGTATGAAAAATAATAAATCCCCTGGGCAAGATGGCTTCACCGTTGAATTTTTTCGTTTCTTTTGGCAATATCTTAAAACGTTCATGATCAGATCTTTGAACTTTGCTTATTTTACAGGAGAATTGTCGCAATCACAAAAATTAGGTATTATCACTTTAATCCCTAAAGGAAACAAGCCTCGACATTTATTAAAGAATTGGCGTCCTATTTCACTTTTAAATCTTCTTAAATCTTCTTAAATGACAACAAGACGGAAGTATTACATGTATCATCTCACATGAAGAGCAACCAGGAACTGCCACCTTTCTGCTTTGGAGAAATCAAGCCCGCTGAAGCTGTCCGGGACCTAGGGGTAGTCATCGACAAACATCTATCTCTTCGTCGCCACATAAATTTGGTGTGTCGCAGAGCTTCGTTCGCCTTAAGAAGAATTGGTGGTATTCGCCATCTCCTTAACCAGAAGACAACAGAAATACTGATCCATGCGTTTGTCACATCACTGCTGGACAACTGTAACAGTCTTCTCTTCGGCGTTCCGGACAAAGACATTTCCAAACTCCAACGAATTCAGAACTCTGCCGCCCGTCTTGTATCTATGTCAAGTAAATACAATCACATCACTCCCATCTTAAAGGAGCTCCATTGGTTACCTATTCCCGCACGCATCCACTACAAAGTTATCCTGCTCACATTTAAAGCAATCCATGGCCTTGCTCCTACTTACCTATCCGAGTTGATAGCCCAATATCTACCAACCAGATCACTCAGATCTGCCTCGCAAAATCTGCTAGTAATAAATAGAAGCCGAACCAAAACTTTCGGTGACAGGTCATTTGAATGTGCTGCACCAACCCTTTGGAACTCTCTTCCTAGCACTCTACGTGCTCAATCAGACAAAGACATGTTTCAGAAAGAGCTCAAGACATATTTGTTTAACATTTCCTTTTAATTTTGTACTGGTTCCAAAGGGTTGGTGCAGCACATACCATCTTTGTAATCATATTTATATTGTTGTATAATTATAATCATTTTCAAATATTACATGTATCACCTTTAATAGAAGCTATTTTCGATTTGTCTAATGTATAACGTATGCCTACTTGTAAGTTTTGATTATAATTATATGTAATTATTTCTATATATGTCTTTATTTCTATTGTCTTCTACATTTGTAAAGCGCATTGGTATTACCTTCGGTAATTAAATGCGCTATATAAGAGCTAACTATTATTATTATTATTATTAAATGTTATATACAAAATAGCATCTGGGTGCATAGCTAATCGATTAAAGCAAGTATTGCCCCACTTGATACATGAGAATCAAAAAGGATTTTTGAAAGGCCGTTTTATCGGAGAAAATATTCGTTTACTTTATGATATATTATTATATACCGAACTTAATGACATTCCAGGCATGTTGTTAATAATTGATTTTGAAAAGGCCTTCGATTGTATATCTCACAAGTTTCTAATCAATGTCCTTGACTTTTTTCAATTTGGGCCATCGCTGAAAAAATGGATTAATCTGTTTTATCAAAATGCTTCTTCTTGTGTCACAGTAAATGGTTTTTGCACAGAAAGATTTACTATAGGACAAGGGTGTCGTCAAGGAGACCCATTATCTCCATACCTGTTTTTACTTGTTAGTGAAATATTAGGAATTTTGATTAGACATTCCAATGATTTAATTGGCTTGCATCTACAGGGGGAAAATAGTAAACTACTACAATACGCAGATGACACCATTTTGACACTTAACGGTACAAAAGAAAATTTACAGAGCTCACTGAAAATATTGGGTGATTTTGAAGAAATGTCAAACCTAAAGATCAATATTACAAAAACTCATGTGATGAGTGATGTGATGATAAAAATGAAAGATCTGACTTTTTCCTTTCTAAAATATATAAGTTTAGTTCATATCAATACAAACAATAAGGTCTGTTATATTTGAGGGAAATTGACGTCTTATTTTGCTGAAGTTTCACGTCTTTCCTTTTCAATACACTCACAATACAAATTGCGTAAGCAACGCCGCACGCGTAGATCGGTCGATACCTCCATTCATCCCCCCATTGTCAATGATTATCGTCTGCTAAAGCTCGGCCGATTATCAACCGAGCCATAATCATAAATAATAGGCCTTAGCCTTCGTTTTACATGGGTTTTCGACACATTTTGTAACTATATTCTAACCAACATTATTCCATGATCTACACTAAATGCCCTTTCTTTTAAATGTGCAAATCAAATACAGGACTATTTGGGAAATGAATTTTGAGATGAAAATTGTGTTATTCTCGAAAACAAAAATAATAATTCTATTAAATGCAAGCAATGCTTTTCTTAATAGACTCCCCCACTATTTGTTCACCACTGTGCCAATCTTAAATGATTTATTTGAATAAATGTATAGTTATTTGTCGTATCTTTTGTTTAATATTATCTCATTGAAATCGTATAATATTATATTACATATTCATTTCATTATGTTATATTATGTGGACAAATAAAAAAAAACTTGAAACCTTGAATATTTTCACGAGCGGTCGCAAATTACTAAACAACCTTGTTAAAATGTTCTCAATCACCTAATCATGACAATATATTTTCATATGCATATAACTATGACCGCATTGGTCTTCTAACCTATATCTTGGCTTATTTTGCCAAGAAACATTCAATAGAATCGAAAGGAATTGTAATTCACCCGTTCCTAACACCAGTAGGTGTTACAACTGCATTTATTAACAGACACCGAATATTATGTCTTAATAACATTTGACGAAGGGTGTATTTGACATGTTTTATCATGGACCTATTACAGATGGACATTCATCGTTTTCTTAACGAATTCATTGTGATTGTCTCCATCAATGTCATCACAATAACATTCCGTACATGTTTCTTCTTTTTGATCTCATAATGGTCGCCGCCAAAAAGCCGGGACAGAATCAAGATAGTGATTTTACACAAGGTAATGTACATGCGCAGAAGATAATTACTCGCCTAAATCATGGAAAATCGATGTGCAGTTCTGGCTTATAATCGGATATTGTTGTTCCGTGAACTGTACATGTATTTTATTTTGAAAAACATGTTGATATTACCGGATAGAGATTATTTTTGGATTTTTGGGTTGTGATTTAAAATCCCGTTTCCCCCTATTTCCTCATAATATTCCAGAGTTGCAAAGCACAGGGCTTATAAAGATCATGGCCTTCTAACTGTTTTAAAAGGTCATGGGTGTGCGCAGAAGTGTGCGAATCAGTAATAATACATTTCATATCACCAAAATCGTCTGCTTTTCAACTTTGCTGATCATATTGGGGATGTTTTTATTTTAGACATACTCTTTCAGAGCACACCATCCAAACAAAGAGAGGGAAACTGCTCCTTTGTCAATGCCCGAAAATGCTTACGCAGATCTCACTTGCGCCAAGTTGCTGGGTGAGGAATAAAATAGGGTTTTTACATACGCACGCACGCACACATAGAGACACGCAGACGCACAAACCCGCACACGCAAGGGCATACGAACGCAAAAGGGCGTTACATTCCCGACAAGGCCCACCCAAACTTTTACTTTTTGTCGGGAATTATTCTTCTCGTACGAAAAGTTGAGTGGCCGCTGTCCTCTTGGTGCGTATTGGCGGATGTTGTGCTTCATGATGATGATGATGATGATCTGATGATGATAATGATGATGATGATGAAGATTAAGATGATGACATTGATGATGATGATGATGATGGTGGTAGTGAATGTGTACTAAAGGGAAAGATTGTCAGGGTTATGACACCTAAACATTCAGCGATCTTGATAAAAATCAATGCTTAACCAGAAAAGGGGAAATTATGAAACAATTGTCACCGTGTATGTTGTGTGCGTGTTTGTGAGTGTGTGTGCATGCGTTTGCATGCGTGTGTGTGTGTATGTGTGTGTGTGTGCGTGAGTGTGTGTATGTGTATGTGTGTGTCTGTCTGACTCTCTTTGTTCACTTTTTTTTTATTCCTCACCTAGTAACTTGGCGCAAGTGAGATTTGGCAGTCTTGTAAAGATTGTCTGATGTTCAGTCATGCATGCAGAGATTCAAATGAAAATGTTACCTAAATGTACTTGGGAGGATAACTATATCAAGACATATCATGCAACCCATGATTAAATATTCATACTTCAAACAATACAATATTTTAAAAGTAGGACATTTTTTCTGACCAACTCTGTATATTGTATATCAATGTTTAAACATGAAAGTGGCCCTTCCCCCCCCCCCCAGAAAGAGGCCTTTTCGTTCCCCCCCCCTCCCCACTTTGGAAAACGGCAACTCTCAAGCATTGCGGAGGTACGTGTGCCAGTTCTCTTCTCTTCTCCTCGACTTCTCCTCTCTTGGACTTGAAAGATATGTAAAATGAGATGGCAAAGCCGAATCTCCTCTATAGATCCCGGACAAGAGGCGGGAGCCGGGCTGGGCCACCAGACAACAGGTTTCGGCCAGGCACCGGGCAGGGCCCGTTGGGTTCCCGGCGGGGATCGACAGACGGCCCGACGACAAATATTTATTTTGTTTTAATCAGGCGATAACCCGCTTTACATTGTATAAATATAGGTGGAATGTCGGTCAATGTGTGCCGATTACGCTCAAACGAGTAAAAAATGCTCGACGTCGAATTTGGTTTTATATGGTGAACTTTTCGGTCGTGTTCCCAAATATCAAAAGCAGCCGGGCAGCCCTTTCGATCAGCCAAGGGCCAACGGACAAACAGGGCAACAACAAAAAAATCGGACCTAGGCATAACCTATTGACCAAAAAATGCTATCACAACGGTCCCGAAGGAAAATTTCTTATTATAGGCCTAGTTATTGTGCAACAAATTGGTCAGATAACCCCATTCTGCTGCATTTGCACACATAAATGGAAGAATCGGTGGTTATTTCATTCTTTTTCAATGATTATTGCGTCTACTTGTTGAGCCACTGCCGTAGTGCTGAATAAATTAGTCCATGACTCTCGGTGTGGTATCCAAACCTTGGTTGAGGGGGTGGGGGAGGGGAATTGACTCGACGGTAATTTATACAATATTTTTTTTCGGCCCAAATTTGATTACTCATATTGTCTGTACTGTATGTATGCAGTGAGTTTATTTCACTACGTTTCGTTAAGATGAGATATTTTTCTGAGTAATGTGTTCCTTAAAATCCATGCATAATTTGTATATTGATCTCTATGCTCTATGTTAATAGATGTTCCAGAATTCTATTTCAATTCATGATACCAAAACGGTATTCATGTCCTCGCTTTGTTGTACTTCTCTCTCTCTTTCTCTCTCTCTAAGTACCATATCGTTTGACTTTGGCGATCATGCTGTTCCACAACCCTCGGCTCCTAGCCTTTTGTATTAGTACCACTCCCAGTTCTTTCACTCCTCTCTCTTCCAACAATTTCTGCAGACTGTCCATCCAAAGTATCCTCCTTCTTCCCCTACTCCTTCTTCCCATAATTTTCCCTTTCAAAGCAAGATTCTCTAGGCCTTCTTTACGTATAATATTACCCATGAACTTCAACTGCCTAATCAACATCTCACGTATCATTTTCCTTTGCACTCCAGCTAGTGTAAGATCGTGTTGTACTTAACTATTCGAAATAAATGCCTCCAATTTTATCAAGACTCTGATAGACTACCTTCATTTTTTTAAGGGCACTCTAATGATTATGTACTTTAGAGTGGAAACAACATTAGCCATCGTTTTCGTTCTAAATTCATGATACAAAAACGGTATTCATCTCTTTGCTTTGTTGGTCTTTATTTATTGGAAATATGTGCCTCACATTTCACCAACACGATAGAATACCTTCAATTTGAGTTAGTAGGGCATTTTAATGATTATGTACTTTAGAGTGAAACAAATTCAGCTATCATTTTTGTTCTTGGGTTGAGATTTGTCAAGGGCTATATATATCTGCTTCCTCCCAAAGCATTCAATTATAATTGAAGAGTTTACGCTCAGTTCAGTCATGTTGTTGTATTAAAGTGGAAATGTCAGGTGGGGACTGTTTAAAGGGAAAACAACATGAGAATAAGTTAACAAGAAATATTAAATTGTTCCTAATAATGGTTCCATCCTAATTCTCTGATAGGTCTAAACAATTATTTATTGGAGACACAAACCCCTGTGAAATTAAGACATAATATTTGTGATGAATTCTGTTTGTGTTTACTTTTGTCCAGCTCACTGCGGAATCCTGTGAGGTTATACAAGAGACTGGAAATGGGAAGAGTCTTCCTCAATACGCTGATGGTGACGTAGGACTTCAGGATCAGGAACCGTAAGTTTTTTTTTTTTTTATCAATCATCATCAAACAAAGCGTAGGCCTGGTTTGTGACATATTTTTAAAAATCATATTCGGTAATTACACTAGCTTAAAACATATTGCTAGTACAAAGTGATTAAATTGAAAATATAGGTGTTTTAATAACATCGCTTTCTGCATGAGTAACAACTTAATGTACTGTCTTTGCTCATTCCAAAAATATGGAGAATTTATTTACATGAAAACGATGACAACTATGAAAACGATAGAGAATGAAAGAAGAGGGCCCGGCAAAACAAAAAGAATGAGAAACAGAAATAAAAAAATTAGAGAGAAATAGAGAAAAAGATAGACAGAGAGAAAGAAAGGGGGATGTCGAAAAGAATAGCTACTATAGTATGAACATAAAATAGAACCAATAATAAAAATATTTCTGCTTAGACATTTTATCTCATCTCCATGGACATCAGCATTGAAAACATTTTATTTTCAACCATTATCTTTAATCATTCATCGTACTTAGATAATTATTGCAACGTGTCATATCCCACATGAAGTTCATTTTTAATACAACGGTCGATTTCTAGTTTTAGTACCATTCCCTTTTTCACTCCTTTTGTTTGTAATTCTCTCCTTTTAGATAAAACTTGGTATGATGCACTCAATTCTTCATGAGACTCCATTTTGTATTGTATTATTCCTCTCAGTTTAATGCATGTTTACACAACCTCTTATCTTTAAAAAAAAAATTGAACTCATAACGCCCATGAATTCGCCTTTGTGACGAACAGTGTTTTTGTAATTTTCTTTGTTTCTTATAGCTTTTGACTATTAATGCTAATGATGAGAATGAATTCGCCTCCATGTGACCAGTTTGATATCATATTTTGTTTAAAACTATCACAATATCATTTACAAATCAATATCGGTATAACGTTTTTGCTTGCTTTCCGTTTCATTTGAAACGAAATAGCCACTAGTACTTAAACAATGATCTAATCAGGCAGATTAATGAAGAGTTAATATGCGGTAGGGATTTTATAATCCCAGTTACACTGTCGTTCATAAAGTTGGAATATTTTTGTTTTACCCCAATTCATGGAATTATTTTAAAAATAATTTTAAAATAATAGATCTAGATGATAGTATACATTCTCAGGTTTTATTGAATCATAATTTGACAATGTGTGTTTTGCGTGACTGCTAAAGCATGTGTATGCTACTATGCTTATCAACTAGGGGACCTACGCCCTTAAGTCATAAATGACAGTAATGAGGATTAATGCCCCTCAAAAGGGCACTAATATATATAGCACATCGACACGGTTTTGATCCTGGGGCCTCACAGTTACGAGGCCATTGCTTTGTCACTGAACCATGACTGTACGCAGCGGGGGATAGGGTAGGGGGCATTTTCCATAAATTAAAAAAAAAACAGAAAATGCAATAAACTTTCAATAATTTATTGCATTTTACCCCGGTTCCCAACATGACGAAATCCTCTGTGTGCACATGCCTTGAGCCATAATGCATGGCCGTCCAGAGAATCTTCCCCTATTCTGAAAATTAGACCCATTCTTAAATGACATCATGCAATTGTATTGCCTATATAAAATATCGCAAATCATTCCATTGCTATTGCTTAAAATTTCATAAATTGGGTTCGAAATTTGTTGATGACATGTCAGTCTCTTTCTTTTGCAATGGAATCCGAACAAAATAAAATGGAATTACATCATGCTTTGTACAAGTTAAAAATGCTTAATCCTATAGTATTATTAAGATTACAAGGGTAGAAACATGTCTTTTCTTGTAGGGCCAAGGGAACCGGCATTCCACTCAACCCACTTCCAAAAATATCATCACAATCCAGTGTTCTGAACACTGAACACAATACACCACAGAGAGAGCATACTGACGAAGGGGAAAGTTTTCTGTCTATTACCACTACAACACTACAATCTGATGCAGATATAGAGGACGGAAAGACAGGGCAATCACGCGGTGCTCCTGTGTCCCTTGATACCGACACATTCGCTGATGAATCGTGTATTCCACTGGAAGAATGCACATCTCCTCTGCAGCCAGCAGAAATCAGGGAAATCTTAGAGACTGATAGTCATACGAATGATGATTGGGATGCAATGTATAACACACTACTGGGTGAAATGTCTCCAAGCGATGCAAATGCGTTCAAATTAGAGCTACCATTCAACCCTGACATAGACGAGATGGATGAGGAAGGATACACACCGCTCTACAATGCAGCTTTAGAAGGTCATCTCGAAGATGTTCAGGATCTGATTTCACAGGGAGCAAACCCAGATAAACCAAGTAAGGGTGGACTCTGTCCTCTTCATGCAGCGGCTCAAGAAGGATATACACACACCGTTGACTTCCTCATCCTTCAAGGAGCGGACGTGAATATCGAATGTGACTTGGGTCATACTCCTCTTCATATAGCAGCTGCAAAAGGTTATCTTGACATCTTAGAGAGGTTGGTTGCAGAAGGATCTGATTTGAACCAAGAAGATAACACTGGATGGACATCATTCAATGCCGCTGTTCATGAGGGCCATATAAAAACTGTCCAATACCTTATGACTGAAGGGGCGGAGCAGAACAGATATGCTGGTATGTCCCCACTCGATTCTGCAGCAGGATTTGGTCATATAGACCTCGTAAAATTCTTCATTTCCAAAAGAGCTGATGTGAACGAAGAAGATGACGAAGGGATGATTCCTCTCCATGGTGCAGCTTCTGGAGGCCACTTAGAAGTCATGGAATATCTCATTCAGCAAGGATCTGATGTGAACAAGGCAGATGCCGGTGGTTGGACTCCATTCAATGCTGCTGTTCATTTCGGCCATCTTGAAGCTGTCAAATATCTCATAACAGAAGGAGCGAAGCAGAACAGATATCATGGTATGACCCCACTTTATGCCGCAGCACAATCTAATCATTTAGACATCGTCAAATTATTCATATCAAATGGCGCTGATGTGAACGAAGAAGATGGCGAAGGGATGATTCCTCTCCATGGTGCAGCTTCTGGAGGCCACTTAGAAGTCATGGAATATCTCATTCAGCAAGGATCTGATGTGAACAAGGCAAAAGCAAAGGGTTGCACTCCATTCAATGCTGCTGTTCAATGTGGCCATCTAGAAGCCGTTAAATATCTCATGACTGAAGGAGCGAAGCAGAACAGATATGATGGTATGACCCCACTTTATGCCGCAGCACAATCTAGTCATTTAGACATCGTAAAATTCTTCATATCAAATGGCGCTGATGTGAACGCAGAAAATGACAACGGGATGAATCCTCTCCACGGTGCAGCTTCTGGAGGCCACTTAGAAGATATGGAATATCTCATTCAGCAAGGATCTGATGTTAACAAGGCAAATGCCAAGGGTTGGACACCATTCAATGCTGCTGTTCAAAAGGGTCATCTAGAAGCCGCCAAATATCTCATGACTGAAGGAGCGAAGCAGAACAAATATGCTGGCATGAACCCACTCTATGCAGCAGCACGATATGGTCATTTAAACATCATCGAATTCTTCCTTTCCAAAGGAGCTGATGTAAACGAGGAAAATGAAACAGGACGGATTCCTCTCCATGGTGCAGCTATCCACGGTAACACTGAAGTCATGAAATATCTCATTCAGCAAGGATCTGATGTTAACAAGGCAAATGCCAAGGGTTGGACACCATTCAATGCTGCTGTTCAAAAGGGTCATCTAGAAGCCGCCAAATATCTCATGACTGAAGGAGCGAAGCAGAACAAATATGCTGGCATGAACCCACTCTATGCAGCAGCACGATATGGTCATTTAAACATCATCGAATTCTTCCTTTCCAAAGGAGCTGATGTAAACGAGGAAAATGAAACAGGACGGATTCCTCTCCATGGTGCAGCTATCCACGGTAACACTGAAGTCATGAAATATCTCATTCAGCAAGGATCTGATGTGAACAAGGCAGAAGCAAAGGGTTGCACTCCATTCAATGCTGCTGTTCAATGTGGCCATCTAGAAGCCGTTAAATATCTCATGACTGAAGGAGCGAAGCAGAACAGATATGATGGTATGACCCCACTTTATGTCGCAGCACAATTTTTTATCTAGTCATTTAGACATCGTCAAATTCTTCATATCAAATGGCGCTGATGTAAACGCAGAAAATGACAACGGGATGAATCCTCTCCACGGTGCAGCTTCTGGAGGCTACTTAGAAGTCATGGAATATCTCATTCAGCAAGGATCTGATGTTAACAAGGCAAATGCCAAGGGTTGGACACCATTCAATGCTGCTGTTCAAAAGGGTCAACTAGAAGCCGCTAAATATCTCATGACTGAAGGAGCAAAGCAGAACAAATATGCTGGCATGAACCCACTCTATGCAGCAGCACGATATGGTCATTTAAACATCATCGAATTCTTCCTTTCCAAAGGAGCTGATGTAAACGAGGAAAATGAAACAGGACGGATTCCTCTCCATGGTGCAGCTATCCACGGTAACACTGAAGTCATGAAATATCTCATTCAGCAAGGATCTGATGTGAACAAGGCAGAAGCAAAGGGTTGCACTCCATTCAATGCTGCTGTTCAATCTGGCCATCTAGAAGCCGTAAAATATCTCATGTCTGAAGGAGCGAGGCAAAACAAGTATTATGGAATGACCTCACTCTATGCTGCAGCACGATTTGGTCATTTAGACATCGTGGAATTCTTCATATCCAACGGGGCTGATGTGAACGAAGAAGATGATGACGGTATGATTCCTCTCCACGATGCAGCTTGTGAAGGCCACTTGAAAGTCATGGAATATCTCATTCAACAAGGGTCTGAAATGAACAAGAAAGATAAGTCAGGCTGGATACCGTTCAATGCTGCCGTTCAATATGGTCATCTGCCAGCCGTCAAATATCTCTGGAATACGAAGGCGACAGAGAGTATATATATAACGGAATCACTCCACTATTTTCCGCAGCGAGATTTGGTCATAAAGACGTAGTAAAATTCCTTGTTTCCAAAGGAGGTAATGTAACGGATAGAGATGGTATAGGCCAGACTCCTTTACATGGTGCAGCCATAAAAGGTGACATTGAAATGCTGCAATATCTCATTCAAGAAGGATGTGATGTGAACAAGAAAGACAACACCGGAATGACCCCATTCATTGCTGCTGTTCAAAATGGCCATCTAGAAGCTATCAAATATCTCTTGACTGAAGGAGCGGAGCAGAACAGATATGATGGAATGACCCCACTCTATGCCGCAGCAAAACTTGGTCATTTACACATCGTAGAATTCTTCATTTCCAAAGGAGCTGATGTGAACGAAGAAAATGAAGAAGGGATGATTGCTCTCCATGGTGCAGCTACTCGATGCCACATGAAAGTCATGGAATATCTCATTCAGCAAGGATCTGTTGTGAACAAGAAAAACAACTCCGGGCGGACGTCTTACAATGCTGCCGTTAAAGAGTGCCATCTGGAAGCTGTCAAATATCTCGTAACTGAAGGAGCGAAGCAGAATAGATATGATGGAATGACTCCACTCTATGCCGCAGCTCAATTTGGTCATTTAGACATCGTCGAATTTTTTTAATCAGATGGAGCTGATGTGAACGAAGAAGATGAAGAAGAGATGATCCCTCTCCACGGTGCAGCTTCTAGAGGCCACTTGAAAGTCATGAAATATCTCATACAGCAAGAATCTGATGTCAACAAGAAAGATAACACTGGGTGGACAGCATTCAACGCTGCCGTTCAAGGGGGGCATCTACGAGCCGTTGAATATCTCATGGCGAAAGGAGCAAAGCAGAGCATATATGATGGCATAACCCCACTCTATGCCGCAGCACAATGTGGTCATTTAGACATCATCAAACTCCTCATATCCATGGGAGCTGATGTGAACGAAGAAAATGACAACGGGAGGACTTCTCTCCATGGTGCAGCTTCTGGAGGCCACATAGATGTCATGGAATATCTTATTCAGCAAGGATCTGATGTGAACAAGGGTGATGCCGATGGTTGGACTCCATTCAATGCTGCAGTTCAATATGGGCATCTAGAAGCTATCGAATATCTGACGACTCAAGGAGCGGAGCAGCACATTTATGCTGGAATGACCCCACTATTTGCTGCAGCAAAATTTGGTCATTTACACACTGTCGAATTCTTCTTATCCAAAGAAGCTGATGTGAACGAAGAAGTTGATGGAGGGATAATTCCTATCCACGGTGCTGCCTTTGGAGGCCACATAGAGGTCATGGAATATCTCATTCAGCAAGGATCTGATGTAAACAAGGGCGATGCCATGGGTTGGACTCCATTTAATGCTGCAGTTCAAAATGGTCATCTACTAGCGGTCGAGTATCTCATGTCTAAGGGGGCGAAGCAGAACACATGCGACGGGATGACCCCAGTCTACGCTGCAGCGTAGTTTGGTCATTTAGACATCATCAAATTCTTCATATCAGATGGAGCTGTTGTGAACGAAGAAGATGATAAAGGGATGATTTCTCTCCACGGTGCCGCTTTTGGAGGCCACATAGATGTCATGAAATATCTAATTCGGCAAGGTTCTGATGTCAACAAGAATGATTGCAGAGGTCGGGCGCCATTACATGCTGCAGTCAAAAACGACCATTTAGAAGTTGTCAATTTTCTCTTGGGGAAAGGAGCCGAGGGCACCACATTTTACGGTTTGACCCCGCTTTACATCGCAACACAGTCTGACCACATCGGTGTGGTAAACTTCCTAGTATCCAGCGAATATAATGTTAACGAAAGAAATGAATGCGGCAAGTCCCCTCTTCATGCAGCATGTTACAATGGCAACATGGATATCGTGAAAGTTCTCGTTCAGCACAACGCTAATGTCAATGAACAAGATGATGATGGATGGTCACCACTCCATGCTGCTGCACAAGAAGGACACCAAGACATAGTCGATTTCCTTGCGTTGAATGGAGCAGACAAGAACGTGAAGGACATAGATGGTTTTACACCCCTTCACGCAGCTGTAAATGCCGGCCATATAAATGCAATAGAAGGCATCGCATCATGTTTACATGACCCTGATGAAGAAGAAACAGGAGATCCACGAACCGGAGGTCACCAGAATATCAGCAATAGAGGATATGTGACGGTAACACTGAATAATGTAGACACGCATTCACGTGGAACGTTAACATCTCAGGTAGACAATGAATGGGAGGGGAATGACTGCATTCAAGCTGATATTACGAAGAGAGGAGCTGGTGGACTTTCCTTGCAGAATCTTTCCACAAGGACCCATGGTGCTGAAAAAGATGCAACTGATCCAAACGAAAACGAATACCGCTACCAACGTAGAGGTGACCCGAATAAGGAAGATACCGGACATCCACTATCCGGGGGCCACCACAGTGGTGCCAAACATCTCGCCACAAGAGGTTGCACAAAGAAGAAGAAGGTGAAACAAATTAAGGAAGTAGACACAAAGTCACGTACAGGACAGTTAGCATTAAAGGTAGAGAATGCAGAAGATGGTGATGACTGCATTAAAGCTGATAATGCGAAGAGAGTAGCCGATAAACCCTCCTTGAAAAATCTTCTCACCAGGGTTGATGATGATGGAAAAAGTGGCAGAGAAGAACACAATCCTTTCAGTCATGCTAAGCTGAAATATCCTGACATAGGTAAACAAGATCCAATGCTACATCAGATGGAAGCAATAACGTGCCCCGCTACAAGAACGAAAGACACCAAAAAAAAAAAAAGACACGGACTGGTCTCCCCCGCGTGGACCTCAGACATGGCAACACAGCGGATTTGATACACCCAATCTACAAACCATTGAGATTGGAGGTCACCCGTCTGAAGAACCGGAATCCAGATTTCACTCACTAGTTGTCGACGACAGGGAAAAAGAGTGAGTGGTTATCAAATGTTTAAGTTTATATATTTTATTGGAAATGTAGATAGAAAAGATAACGGTAAATACACATATGCTAAGAAGTAACCATTCAGCAGATTCTAATGTCATCATAGAGATGAAAAACAAAAGATTCGTATAAAGCAAGATTAATGACCTTTTGTACATAGCCCTATAGTAAAGATTTCTTTTATATGTATGAAACAAGCACTCAAATTCTAAGAATAGAGAATTAAAAAATTACAAGCAAAACTATTATACACATTGGTCAGATATTTATGTTGTGTGAAACAATAACATGTTCATTCTATGCCAGGATTTTAATTTATTTTCTTACTCGTTGTTATGTCCAATGCATCCTAGTGCATCCTTGCTAACCAACACTAATTGTCGCCATTATGTCTTCTTAGCTCATATCCTTTCACAGCATCCTGATATTACTTTTTCTATGATCTAATTGATTTTTCCTCGTCAGGAACCTTCTTCACCGATGACTGACAAAAATGATCTACCAGTCAACGAAAAATCAGTGAAGATCAGGTACTAATCACTTTTCATTATTTTATTCTGAGGAAACCTTATTATTCGTATAACGAGATGTATTTAGTGCATATATTTCGCCCTGCAATTAATTGCATCATTAGTAACAACAGTTTCTTCATGTTTATTGGATATTCAGAATTATTTTGTATATTCTTCATAATGTGTCTGAATAACCGTTTAAGGAGGTAAACCGTATGCCATCACGTAATGGCTGAATTAGAGCACTTTCGGAATATTACCTGCCTGGACTTGATCCTTAAGAAGCTAAAAAAAAAAAAGTGAAGTAAGACCTGATGCGGTACACAGGGATGTTGGTGTCGATATTTTAAATTATGGTATTTTTCCTAGGCCATATATGGGCTTTCTGCGAGGTACATGTACTTTTATTTGTAAAGCTTTGTAAAAACATTTGCATATTACATATACTTTTATATTTTGTTTTTGTAATGGACAAGAAACATCATCTGAGTAGACCTTAATAGGGACCAAATTTGATTGGCTTATTTTGGTCTCTTCATAAATCACCTACCTCTCATTTTTACAATTATATTCAACAGCTTCCTGACGAACCCACGAGCTGTCGATCACCAAGAGTTGCATGACGGAAACTCTATCCTTACCCAAAGAACCTCCTCAAACCCAGTTTGCAAAATCAGGGTAAGAGAGAAGTATTGCTTCAATTTATCATTTCTAAATAACTTGCTGTTGAAGTTATGAAATAGTTTAACAAAATTATAATTAAATGGGTTATAGTTCTGCATCTGTGCAAAACAAAACTTATTTAAAGACTTCTTTGAAAGTACACTTCTAGAATATGTTCATGAAGACAGATGCCCATCCAGCGTTATATTTCTTGTTCACGTCGGATAATTGCTAAATGAGATATTCCATGACTTTGTCAAATTTCAACAACGTTCTTTTTCAAACTCATACCCTTTTGCTTTAGACCAAACGTCGAACATCGATTGACCGGTGTCCTTCAATCCTGGCCCTTGTACAAACTTTCCTGCACATGATTATCGCTTTGGCCATCATTCTTGTTGGAAGTCCAGTTCTTGTAGCAGGCATTGGTATCACCGAACGGGTCACGCTACAGGCAGGTAAACCTGGTGTGGTCCCATTCCATCTCACATTGCGACCTAGTGATACATTCCAGGTTTCATATTACACACTTCGGATCGAATCTAATACTCATCCATTCTGCATAAATGGAGAAGTAGATATCGTGGGCTTTAAAAACCCATCCCAGTTACAAAGATTTTCAACCTCAGTCACAGATTTAGACACTTCTCCTTGCGTGAATCTGACTATAGATAACGTTGATACTCTAGATGAGGACGGGTACATATTGACGGCAGTCTGGCATAGTTTTGAGAACGTAAGGTATGAAACTGTGAAGAAGGAGATTTGTGTACAAACTTCCCCCGGACCTGCAAAGTGCTTTATCACATTAAGTGAAAATGGTGACTATCCCTATGAAGTACACTGTCGAGCCACCACTGGAAGCGTTACAACCACTCTATCATGTTACCAGACTGATCAGATGATTGACGTCAAGATTGATATTACAGATAATGGGCTAATTACCAGAGGTATATGCTTGCTTCCCGATGACACTCATTTCTCTTGTTGCTCACATGATGTAACTTCATATGTGAGTGCAAAAATGTGCAATGACTTCGAGTGGCCACACGGCAAAGAAACCACGAGACAGACTGTCAAATCAGTACCTACATCAGTTACTACTCCCACACCCCAAACAGAATCCCATACAGAATCAGGGACTTGTAGGCAATTCATGCTTCCTTCTCTGTGGCACTTCACATACCTGTTCATAAATCTTTTAGCCTTTGTTACGATATACTAAGTAGCAAATCCCCACACGTGATATCAATTTTTTTATTTCACAAAATATTGTAATACTAAACTTTTAGCGTTTGTTACAATATACTAAGTACCAAATCCCCACACGTGATATCAATTTTTTATTTCACAAAATATTGTAATACTAACAAATAAATGCGAAAATATATTATCGTTCGAATTCGAATTTAATTTATGTACATAATTTACAAAACATTCACTATTTCACATTCGTTGCTACAATTCATACATACCGTATATGTTTATATTTGAAAGAAAATATAAAAATAGCCTACTTTTCAATTCGTTGTCATGTGCATACATTCTTTGTTTTTCATTCTATGGCCTGCTATATTTCAATGATTGAGGGAAGATATTTAATATTAATTCCATTCTCTTTATAATCATCACGTCGATTTGACATAGACCAGGCCTTTTAAGTAGCCTGCTATCACCCAGCCATGTCTGACCTCAATTTTAGAATAAATCTGAACCATGGGGAAAACATGACTTATTCCTAGGATCGGCATGTGCACAATGTACATTACTCTAAAGGTCTCGATACCCATGTTGCCAAATATATTCTCATCATTAATCATGAAAATATTAATTTGGAGTGTGGTTTCGCTCCAGATTTTACTTTCACCATTTTCAACTTCATTTCGAGCCCGGTATTACATTCAAGGTTAAACATTAGATGTAGTGAATGCATATACAATGTTCAAACATTTGAGTTTTTTTAATGACCTCAGAGAAGAAATTGAATATAAGAAGTAAATTCAACATTATATTGTAGATATATTCCGTTTGAATCCAGAAAAAAGTCAAACACATTAACACAGATATAACGCCTTTCTGGCTTCAAATAGCGATCTATGGTTCACTTTCGCTGTGTCAATATGTGTAAATGTGATTTTGAATCATGATAATAAGAAACATTGAACTGGAACGCACGTTCCATTGTCGAAGTCATAGTATATTTTCATAGTACACATTCTTATGTAAGTGAAGTTGTGTCTATAATTCTTAAACTGTACGGCTAAACAGTATATTAATTTGCAAACACAGTCTTTTTTATAGCGCTAAATAGCGCTTTATAGCGGTAAAATGATTTTTTCCCCCCCATCAAGTTTACGTTGCTTTTCTTGTGTATACTTATGTTGTTCATATAAATTTTAGTTCTTTAACATCGCTCTTAAAAACCATGTGCTATATAAATTTGTTTTGCTTAATCAATTATTTTTAAAATATATGTTACATGTACGTCTCCACTTCCCAAGGTAGTTTACATTGATATACACGTACTACGGAACGGGTTGAATTGATTGATATCAATGCGTGTATCATGTTATGGAAGGCCATTCCCAACACAAGCCACGCACGATAGAGAAATTGTGCTTCATTGCAGAATATGATGTAATGTAAGCAACTTATTGCATGGATGAATTCGTAGTGTATATTACATGTTTGATTCTTGATCTGAGAATCTTTGAATCCCAGAATTTGAATAAGTTGTCAAATTGGAGAGAGGAACGATTTAATGTTGCGTCATGTTTACTGGAATTTAAGTGCACCAATTTCAAATATATATGTAAGCCGCAAATTAACTGTCACGGCTTTATTATAAAACTTATCGTGGACTTACTATAATTTATGTTTTGCTTTTATCATACAAGCAATTCATAAACTTTACTTTCATATAGATATAGTTCACCTCGATCAATTCATTACTCAATTTTTAAGCTAAGTATTTCCTATGGATTGCTTTCTTTTGTTGTAAATAAGTGTCATTATCATACTGTAAATAGATGTTAGTTATTGAAATGGCCATTCTCTTTTGAATTTGGGGGTACAGTAAATGCTTATATTGGGCATATTTTCAAGTTATCATTGACATTTCTACCGACGTACTTGCTCATATTTTCCATTTATTGCAGCATATTTAATGAAACAATGTTTTTTTATACAAATTCGTTTATGGATATGTAGGTAAAAGACGGTCACATTTTGCTATTTGAGAATAACAGAAACAAACTTTTAGAGATCCGTTTCTTTTGCTTTGTATATTAATGCTCGTAAAATGATGATGTAGAAAATAATAGTAATAATATCGGACATTTATATAGCACACATATCCATCATGCAATGTGCTCAAGGTGGTCCGATTATTAGTCGGCTCTGGTAGGCTGCCGATTTCGGCGCTCACAGCATTCAAGAAATTCCTCCTATTCCCCAAAAGACCAGCCATGACGATTCAAGAGGAGAGACACACTAAAAACAATAACTGCATAATTAACACAAATATATTATGTACACATCCTGATTTATGGCTAATGTATTGGATAATTTTTCGAACGAGAGAAATTCGAAAACTATGTTCTTCTGTAATATTGTAAAATTTTACTTAGTGTTTCAGTGTTCTTCAATTTAAATGTGAATGTTTTTTGTACACTGAATATATAAAAATAGATGTATAGAATGTACATATAACTTTCTTTTATGCTAAATATATTACTCATTGCGGATATAGTATCGAAAATAATATCAATTATCGATCGAATTATAGACCGCTCCGCCGGTCCTCCCGTAAAGTATAAAAGACCCTTGCTTACAATAGTTTTTATCACCTGACGAAGTATCGCAGTAGCATACGAAACGTCGTGATCTTTTAGATTCCTTTTTGACCACATTGCGAGACAAACGAATATCACTAGCGATATTATTTTCGATAACTTTCTTTTAGTTTCTTATATGACCAGTATGCTTCCATGCATTTCATTTGGGTTATCCTGTTATATTTTAACGTCGCTACAAAACATCAACAACAACAACCAAAATCCTTAAGCCGGTTATTATGCACCAACAATGCTATACTCTCATGAATTTAAATAGTTTTGTGCACTTCGTTTTTAAAAGCTTGAAAATGCGTGCTTTCTCGCTTTCTTTGGAATAAAGCACGTTTTCAAACTAATTATGTACCCATGCAGGAAGTAATATATTGTTTTACATTGTTGTGTTTTGTTGTAATTAGAAGAATGAAATCCGTATCAGAACGGCATACATTCAGAAGTGTAAATATAAAATAAGAAAGAAAGGTCAAGCGAAACAGATAACAACTCAACGCATACATATAGTTATATCCAATGCAGTCTGTTTAATGGTGCCTTTGTAGACGTTTATTGACCTCACTTTGGGGTGATGGGGAAATGGTAATAGTAATAAAGAACTTCTTGTTGTTAATCTTGATTTATGAAATTTGGAAGGATTATTAATGGTATCTGTAGGATTCGTAAATGCTATATGATATTCGATAAGATATCGTTTACGTACTATTTACATGAATTTATAATGCTTTGTCATAATATCGTTGCCCATATTTTGTATAATTTGTTACATATCTTTTGTATGTGTATGCTGTTAGTATAGTATAAACTGTATAGTATGCATATTGTACAGTTATCCATGAAATTCACAGTAAATTAATTTGTGAAGATTGTCCCGTATAATAGCGAAACCTGTCTGCGTATTTTGAATAATAAATAACAAAGGTTTTACGTCATAGTATCAAACAAAATTATCAATGTTGTATATGTATATTTCTCATTAGTCTACTCAATATACTAATCATAATAATAAAAGCCAACCTTTTGCTGTATTTAGGGGTAGAGTAGATGGTTAGATTGTGCACAATTTCAAGTTGTCTATGACGTTTACACTAGCATACTTGTTCATATTGTTCATTAATTCGTAGTGTCTTTAATTATATCCAATAAAACAATGTAATAAAAAAGGAATCATTTATAAATAACAAATCTTCGAACTTTTATGAAAGTATGTTGGTAACAAACGGTCTAATTTTGCTTTTCGATATTAACGGAACAAACTTTTAGAGATGCTTTTCTTTTGCTGTATATATTTATACTCGTAAACGGACGATGTAGAAAACACACGAAAAAAACAGCCATGAAAAGGAGAGACATACTACAAAACTATTGAAAAGATTTACACAATTAGGTTTGTATATATCCTTATTAACGGCTATACATTAAATGTAACATATGGCATGTATGAAAGAACTAAATCCCCAATCTTTTTATAATGATGCAAACGAAAGAAATTCGATAACTCTTTTCCTTTTTAAATAATTTGTTCACTGTACAATATATGTTACACATTTAATTAGTGTAAGTTCTTCTTTTGTTCTATTGTTTATTATTCATGTAAATTGATATTCTTCATGTAATATTGTGCATGCTTTGCAGCTTACCTTCGTATTAAAACATTGATATCTAGTGTATTTTGAAGTGTAGTATGCATAATGTACATCTTAATATGAAACTCATACAAAATATAATTTTCAAATATTGTCCTGCGTAATTACAAAACCTTTCTGCATATTTTAAATGATAAATTATGAAAGTTTGAATGCGTAGCAACAACATTATCAAGTTTGAATATTTACATCACTCAGTATTTTACCCAATATCATAATCATGATAATTCAACCTCTTTGTATTTTGTGGTAGAGTAAATGCTTAGAATGTGCACATTTTCAAGTTATCTTTGACATTCATAACAACATACTTGCTCATATTGCCAACGTTTGTTGTTAACTAAGGGTCTTGTTTTGCTATATAAGAATAACAAAAACAATCGTAGAGATCCGTTTATTCCGCTCTTTATATTTATGCTCGTAGAATAATGATGTAGAAAATACACCAAAAGACTAGCAATGAAGAGAAGAGACTCACTAAGAACAATAATTGAATAATTAACACAATAATGTATGTACATATCCTGGTTTATGGCTTCACAATATATGTAAGCTATATATAATTCACAGATATACAATGAATGTATCAATGGTACATGTATGTATACAAAGATTAAATTCCAAATACATTTGATAATTTTGCAAACAAGAAATTTGAGAATCATCTTCCTTTGTAAATATATTTGTATCACTATACCATATATCGTGTAAGTTTGCCTAATTTTTCAGTATCCTTCTATTCAAATATAAATAGGTAATTTTGTTTAAACATTGAATGGATAAAATAGATGTATATGAAT